TATGGCATGGGAGCCATACGTGTCAACTTCTATCAATATAAAAATGTAAACAAAGGTACCATTACAAAAAAAAAAAATTGTGCAAACGATGCAATTGCGTCAAGAAAACTTTCATCAATTGTGGTTTTGTTTGTCCATTAAGTACATTAAACCTGTTGCCATTACAAATCAAGTTCTTTCATACAAAAAAAAAATATTCTTTTAATAATGTCAATTGCTACTATTGGCTCTCGAACTATCGCCTGCAGCTGACGCTTGCAGTTGAACTCTCGACTGCATGCAATTGATATTTCAACTGGATGCAGTTGATCGCGACTGCATGTAGAAACTGCAGGTGTGCAGTTCATCTGTTGGCAGTCTAAATCGCGAATCTGTTTCTCGTAATAAGCATCATAAGAAAACACCTTAACATGTTGACCAGTGGTGTTACGTTAATATTTCCAAGTCCATTAATATACAATTTAAAGAGCTGTGGTGAGATTTCACTCTCCTATTGTGCTCCATACTTCGTCCTGTACAGACTCCAAGACTTAGACTAGAAGCGCAATTCATTTTTCTCCAAAGTAACTCATTGGACATGCATTGGACACTAAATCCTTCCTTCAGCGAATCTAAGCCATCATAGATTAAAATCTTCCTGTCTGTACAGTAATGGACAATACGCTTCAGGCACAATATAGCAGTCTCTATACATCCCAATATATATATATAAATATCTGAATATAAACTGTGCTCATTTACTTCACGTGTCAAAGTCAAAGTGAAATAATCATTTATTCCATAGGTAAAATTTTTATACTTGAAAACGTTATTTTATTTTTAAGCTACTGTTCGTTCACTATGCTGACCTCTCTGAGAAGAACAAGCAAGAATCTCTAGAGATCGCTCTTTTTAAATAAACTTAAATGCTATATAATAATACTTTTTGAATCATTTTTGTTTGAATCTAGACTCAAGGTGTCTTTCCATACATATGTATCTAACACGTAGTCTACAATTTTGTAATATGACGTGTCAATTAAAATACTTTTAATGTAGGTTATTCAAATTTAACACACTTTGTATTCTGGGCAATGAGCAATAAATTGTTAACATTAAACCAATAAACTACCCTTGAAAAGGGTGTCATTAATATTGTCATTAACTGTTTGTTTTAAAAATCAAGGATGTGTCAGCAAACAATAGTATTTCGTAAAGGTCTTTAACAAAGAATGGTAGATCATTAATATAAATGAGAAATAAGAAAGTTCCAAGTATTAAGCCCAGCGGAACACCCATTTTTACCGGACAACCCAAAGAAGTCACTCCATTTATGTCTACTTTCTGAATTCTACCGTTAAGATATGACGAGACAATTCCCAACGCCTTGCCACTTACTCCGTAATATTCCAGCTTCCTAATAAGAGTAATATGATCCATGCAATCAAATGCCTTTGAGAGACCTCTTTGTGACCACAGAAATCCCAATAGCGTTCTGGGACCTTTCCCAAGCACCAAAGATATGTTTTAGTAGTGCTACCTCCGCATCGCTAGTCGATCTAGCACTAGTAAACCCATATTGTTCACTATGAAAAATATGAATCCTACCGAAATACGACAGTAGCCGAGTCAACATAACCTTTTCGAATATTTTACTTAAAGATGGTAGAATTGAAATGGAAGTATAGTTACTAGAATCAACTTTCCTACCGCTTTTGAATAAAGGAATAACCTTACCGTATTTCATCAAATCGGGAAAAATCCTTCGTCAACGCACATACTGGATGCATCAGCTAAATGTGGGGAAATTAGATAAATTACCGACTCTATAACTTTAGTCGATATGCCCCAGAGATGTTCAGTTTATTTAACATGTATACATTTAAAAGCTTTAATGATATATTTTGAATTAACTTGATGAAAATTAAACTCACTGCCACAAACTTTAACATTTTTCTTTAGGAAATCAATAGCACGAGATGGAGAGGAATTTAATGATTTTGTAGTGTTCACGGCGATTCTCGAAAAGATTGATTCAAAAGCTTGATTTAATAAGTTTGCTGTCTAATTCTAGAACTATATCTCTATCATGTTGTTTAACCCTGTCTGACTCTTTATTTATTATACTCCAAGTAGTTTTAGATTTATTTTTCGATTATATAATTTTATCGCTGTGAAACAACCTTAGCAGCTGCACATACTTTTTTAAATATTTTTGAATAATTTTTAACATATTCTATAACACTGGAATTAGTATTATAACACATACAAACGAGACCTACTCTTATGAATGCCTACTGTTACCCAGTCATTGAATTTAGTCTCCCTGTGGAAAGTGGGTGTTTTCGATGTAAACACGTTATCAAATTAATCTTTTTGCAATTAAATATCGTACCATATAAAATATTTGGAATTTCCGGTATATGGGGGAGGGAATGTAAATTATTGTCGATATTCTTTTGAAATCTAGTGATTCGTTTTGTAGTAATCGAGAAGTAATGTAGAGAAATTGGTCTACTTTCTTGCTCATTTTACAATTAAAAGTAGCCAATTGGCCACTATGGTCTGATCTTAAGCAATTTATTATTGATTTAGATACAGCGTTTGTGTTGCAAAAAATGTTATCAATACAAGTAGACGATGAAGCAGTGATGCGAGTTGGTTCCAATAAAAAATTGATCAAGTTAAAACTTTTAAATAAATTAATGAATCTTAAAGAAGTAGAACAGTTTTCCAACAGGTTTACATTTTAATCTCCACAGACTAATATGGTTTTTTTAGTTAGTAAAATCTCTTTTAAACATTCCATGATTAATTCAGACTCGTTAAAGAGGGAGGCCTGTATATACATAAGATCACAAACTGATCTAATTCCACACATGAAATCTCAATAGTTCGTTTAAAAGAGAGATCTGTGATATCCTTACGCTCTTTAAATTTTACATTACGCTTAATAGTAATCATTGATCCGCCTTTACTTAAGTTCTTTCTTATGAACGAGCTAACTATTATATAATTTTCCACGTCGTTACTTCCTTCGTAGTGTGTTTCAGTGTTCTGTTACACAAAACACGTCAACGGAAATATCGTTTAAAAAAAGACTTATTTCTAATGTGTTGCCAGAAAAGCCTTGAATGTTTTGATGAACTACATGAAAAAGATTAGACTTTTCTGTTGTCGTGTTTTCTAGTTTAAATGTTGGTTAGCAATAAGTAAACTGTTGCTACTTAGAGTAGGAGCATTGTTGTGGGACTGTATTCTATCCAAAGTAAGTACGTAGGCATAACATAATAAATGTGATATAGTACTAGTTAGTAAAATTTGAGCTCTTCTTATGGAGAAATCTGCTTTTTTCCTACAAATTATTAATAACTGCTTCCGTAGCCGAACGGTTACCATAACGGACATTTTGGTTTTTTTTTATAATATCAAGTGACGAGACGAGCAAGGAAGATGACGACTGCCACGCAAAGGTTCCAGGTTCGATTCCCGGGCCGGGAGAAATATATGTATGGTCTACATTTATTTTCTCTCGTGAGTTTGGTTGTAATTTGTGGTTGTCTATGTGTGTGTCCATGGCATCCGCGATACAGGGTTGTGAGGGTGTGACCTCCTTACATCGTCTTTCTACCTTTTTATCGCCTTTCCTCCGGTTCCTGGCCACTCGTTTTTAAATTTTGAATCATCATTCTGATTTTGTTTCGTTCCACCGTCATTCCCTACTAGATCGCGGTAACGAGTACGTCTGCACTTCAATTTTTGATCCGTTTACCAGTTACCAACAATTTCTTGTGCAATAAACATTTAAAAGATCACAAAATAATATAAAACCGGAATAAATATTTATAAACCGGATTTATTTCTATTATTACTTTTTTCTTTTGAATTTTGAACTTTAAACTCGCTAAGCAAGATGTGTGGACGCTGCGGAGTCTGAGGAGGCTACTACACTCTCCAGGCTATGTTCCATCCTACAAGACGTACTTATGCGGTGTCAGCAGGGATTCCCTAGGGCGGGCTTAAAAAAATTGTTATAATATAATTAATGGCTGAGCTGTACGGCTAGCGTCATTGACGGATACTTTAGTGGACTTTCCGAGAATGCCAGTATCGGCATTCGGATAAAAATGAACGAATTCCTATTGATGACTCAGATGATAATTGATATTGAGCAAGTCTAAAATGTGGCATCTATGATCAAAGAAATCAGAATTATTGTAGTTGCGTGAGCATTGACATCAAAGGCATGTGCAGTACCATAACTAGATTCTACACAAATTTGATTCAAATGTATTCCATAGCATTTAAGTTAATTTGAAAAAAGCAATCCTTCTTCTTGCTCGTTCATCACAGGAAAGTCAACACAGTGAGCGAGTAGTACCTTAAAAATTTACGTTTTCAAATGTAAATTTACTTTACCTATAGAAATATACTTGGACTTTGTTTTCCTATTTACAAATGGGAATTCAAAATAGCTGCAATGTCTAGATCAAAACAATTTGTTATATTTCATTCCTCTTAAATTGCCAATTAAGGTTCAAGTGCAATTTCGTACATCATCATCACCGTATAACGTATAATGATACGCCCCACTGTTGTGCACATCATGGTTTCTCGATGCAGGTCGGGAATTTCAAACGTTTTAAAAGGTTTGTGAGCCGTCTTAGACATTCACATTCTTTGATGTTTTCCTACACACCGTTAGCAAGAGGAATCACTACTAAACACTCATAAATGTACTGACGTCACAAATCAAAGGCACCTGTCGCCTTTACAGATATTCGAACGATCGACCTCTCAATTAAAGAGCAATCGTCCTCACGTTGAGCTACCAGTGTGCTAATCAGTGATGGTAATTCAGTTATCTATGTATTACTATCTGTGATAGTAATTTAGTTATCTATATGTTACTAATCTGTGATAGTAATTTGGTTATCTATGTATTACTAGTCTGTGATGGTAATTTAATTCTCTATATATAAAGGAGATTATTAATAAAGAGTCACCAGCCAGATACTCACAATTTCCATTATATTTAGGTGAGCCACCGTTGACGGCTCCATTGACGGCACCGTTCACAGTGCTATTTACCACCTGTGCAGCAAGTTTGGTGGAAGAGGCTTCGGCACTGGAGCTGGCCCATGCAGCTGCAGCAGCTGCAGAGGCTGCCGCTGCCGCCGCCGCCGCTGCGCACACGCTGCACTCTGTAAGAATAAGAAAAGATACATATTCATAAAACATTCTTAACCATTTATTAACTCAAACAAGACACAAATCTCCTTTAGAAAATAAACAAGATTGTTCAGACTCTTGAGCAATAGAAACTGTTCTACAGGAAGCCTAGAGATACATAATAATATCATAAAATTCTAGAAATGTAATGAAAATTGTTATGAAACATAAAATTAAACATTTTAATATAGGAGCATGTAAGTTCTTTAGTTAAAAATTAAAAGAAATATAGAAGTAATAAAAATTGTCTGTTGTATTTTGTGTATTGTTATTTAATGTAATAAACATATTTGAATTGTACGTACACAGCTTTTTGTCAATGTCGTATGTTAGTATCTACATACATATACATTATGTTGTTTATTTAAGATTAATTTTTTAGTCTAATTTAAGTATATGTTGCAAAGAGAAAACTAACAATACGAATACATAGTAGATATTATTATTTGAGGTTTAAACCTACACAATCCTTTTGTATTAACTGTTAAATTCAGTAGGTAAATTAAACACATCATCATCACATCATCACCGTGATCCACGGCCATTAATAAATCGCATTGTATTATTATAAGTAAAACCATTTTCAAATTTTACTTTTTTATACTATTAAATTATGAAAAAAATAACATTACAACAATTTTAAGTCGCCGAAATAGGCAGAAGCCACCAAACTTAAGTATGTTACCAGTTACAGCTGCGGATGATGATATGTAGTTAAAAACCTAAGACAAAGGCAACCTAAGCCAATTGAACAATTTTTAGCGTGCACTAAATTTTATTTTTTGACGTAATTCAAAATTAGGTACAAATGTACATAAGATGCGCTCACCCTTCATGTATGTCGAAAGCCCCTTCTCAGCAGCTATGACCCTGTCAATTCTAACCACTCAAAAACTTCCATACATTGTCCGTACAGCCCAAAACATAACTCAATAAAAAATATAATAACACTTGACAACGTCACTTGGGAAAAAAATATAACACGGACCTGCGCGTTTGAGACGCACGCTTCCTTACGCACTTTTCATTGATTGAGAAGAATATTGATTTATTTTGATTATTATTTGTATGATAAATGCTAGACATTGGTGGTATACATGTTCAAGAAGCGATGTGTGGGGCGATTGGCGTAGGACTGCGTGGTGCGTTTTGCGACGACACGATGTACACGCGCGTAGATGGGGACGCTGCCCGCATTTACTACTTGTAAATAGTACCCCCCGTGCCCTTGTATTGATACGCATTTATTTTTGTTATTTCTAAAAATCAGCGTGGATAAAAAAATTATGTGGTGATTGTTGTTTAACAAATTCAGTATGATTCAGAAAATTTTAACTTTATTAACAGTGCGTAGAACGCTCATTTTGTTGACGCACAAATCGATTTCAAATACAAAGAAACACTGCTACGACATTATAAACAATAATTTTCCTACGCTTTTACACATCGTTACCAAAATTCAAATTAAATAACGTAACGTACGAAACGCGAAAATGTATATTAGGACAATTGTTTTTGAAAACACTTTAACAACTAATTGCAATGTTAACGGTCTCACATTTTATTTTGTGTGACTGAGATTATTATAATATTTATTATATAATAATATAATATTTGAGATTATTATTATATCTCTCCATATTTATTCACTAGTTGAGCATCTTTGCTACAGTGTAATTTTACCTGGGTAATTTTCAGGTTAACTTTTTGTACATAATTTAGGTGGAATTTATATTATTTAAAAATTCTAGAATATTATTTTTAATTATTATTAAATATTTGTGTGTAGTATCCCGAATAATTATTTTATATTTCAAGATAACATACTTAAATAACAAAAATTGCCGGCGAAATTAGATAGAGAAAATTAACCGGAAAATTAAAAACCTAATCAATTGAGTATCTTTTTAATAATAAAAGTAAGGTAAAACATTAACTCAATTCGAAGGAAGCCGTTTCTTTCCATTATCGATTTCATTTTAATCTATTAAATGGGACATTTCTTGCTCTTCCTTGCAATATTCTTTTGACTTTCTTTTTAAAACATTATAGGAGTTTTTTTTTTCGAAATCATATGTTTCAATCATTGACCGTCGGATAACTCACATTCTATAGGCTAATTATATCATATTTCTTCTTTTTTGTTAAAAAATTATATTCTTATTAATCTTACTTTTCATTATAGGAGAAGGTTTGGTTATTTTTTTATTTATTTTATATGAAAGAATATACGATACTAGTGTCTATTTAAGATAGAAATTAGAATTACATGTCAATGTTGCACTAAATAAAATTTTCAAAAAATTTCGTTTTTAGTTCTGCAGGTAGATATGTTGTACGAAGTTGCTGAATAGACAATTAAATTATTTGTATTGACTAAATAAATGTGACAAATACATTAGGATCTAGTGTCGTCGGCCATATTTGTGGGTCCAGAACGCATGCGCAGTGCGCAGTGCGGAGTGAATGCAAACAGCCGGCCGGCGCACATCTGCTGGTCAGCTCGTGGACACAATGAAGCGATACTGACACCATCTTGTTAGGTTACACTGGGACAATTCCACTTCTTCACAATTCCACAGATCATAATATTTAAATATTTCACAAAATATACCTTACCTTAGTAGCAGTACCATGGTGTCAAACCAAAAACACTTCAAGTCTCAGTACAACATTTTGTAATTTCATTACAACAAGAATGTTTCAGTTATTGTCAATGTAAAAGAAGTTTATTCGGTTTTCCACAGAAACAGCTAATTTTTCAAGGTAATTTCTTTAATATCTTAATGTATAAAGTAAGTTAAATGTATCATTGATGTTGTTAACTTAAAAATTTTAAAAAAAAGGTAGAGTAGAGCTCCTTTTAAAAGAGTTGATTCAGAACATTACAGGACTGCCACCTTAATTACCTATTTCTGCCACCAAGCAGTAATGTGAGAATATATGTTTCGGTTTTGAAGGGTAAGGTGCTGGTGAAACTACAGGCACATGGGACTTGTCAACTTATGTCTCAGGGTGACGGGCGCAGTGGCACTGCCCCTCAGACCTTTGTGATTTAAAGCACTGAGTGGTACTGCAACTATTATGGACACGCGTGTCGCTTACCACCAAGCGCATGTCTTGTTTGTCCCATCACTCAGTTTCATAAAAAAAATCATTTCACAAGGGGACCAGTGTCCAGAACTAGGATATATATTATTGTACTTTGTTGTAACTGCGACCAAGCCTAATCTATTGCAGTTACTATTTCCATTACTTATAAATTTTCACCGTAAGTAGTCGAATACCTATTTACACGAAGAACCACATAACACGCTGTAGACAGCCAGTATAAAAAGACCTTATCTAAATTACAATATACAGAAATATTTTCAACAGCCTGTGCATGTGATACATTATATTTTAACTATTGCGATATTTAAATACATTTTTGTAAAAATATTTTTTACTTTGTATCAATAACAAGAGTAAATGTTTCTATTCCTTTTTTATACTTTGTCTGATTTTACTACATAGTTGAGAATATCGTAAACCTAAAATTACTTACTTGGATAGCACTAAGAAAGTTTTTTTAGGGCTCCGTAGTAGTCAAACAAGAAATCATTAAACATTAAAAATATATACCGAGCTCAGAGTGCGATATTCTTGAGTCAACGACACAGCTGAAATTTCATAAATGTAATAAAACAATCATAGGACTCATGATATGTTGTTAAACGCCAGTCTCCAGATATTTTGGTGGTAAAGTCCTTATTAAGGTCTTTTCCCTTAAGTTTTGCAGTGATGTTGCTATAAATCTAGTTTGTTTAAGTAAGTTTGGTCTTTTATAATATAAAAGAAGTTTAATCTGTAGCAAAGATGTTTATTTGTTACAGATGGCAAAAAAATGTTAAAAATAAAAGATTAATGTAGCTCTCATTATAACATATGCAATGAAGTTGTAATCGATTACTAAGTATTAGGGAGAATAGTGAAACGGCCAGACTATCATGGGCATGTGCGGCACGCTCTTGACCGGTTGATATATTTTTATTCTAGTCTCTACATTTCCATAGCAGTGGTCACTCTACCATTACCTGACCCACCCTCCAGTGTGTAAGGGCCGCGCGTTAATGCTCCATATTTTTTCCACATTTGCCAAAAATTCACGATATTTGGGATTTGACGTGCATCCTATTGATTAATTATTATTTTTCTATGCAACAATAATTATCTTAGCACTTCCTCTCTTATTAGGCTGGCTATTTTACTCTAATTCTATTTTTATTTTAAAGTATTTTCTTAAGTCGTTGTTACCAGATAAAGGACAAGAAACGAATATTCTTGAACCATTTTTCACATGAAAAATTACATACACAAGTAATAAATCACATTTTAAGAAGAAATGGAACTCGGAAAAGATAAAAAAGCTATTAATATGCCGTATTCATATTTCACGAAATATTTACTTTTAATAAGCGCTGGGTTCAAAGGTCCTTGTTATTTTGCAAATAGGGGAAGTTTTTTACGTATTATGGTAAAAAATGTTACAAAAAGTAATGGACGGTCACAAAAATTTTGACGCGTGGCAGGAATCTCGGAGTTGACAATGGAATATTTTATTTTATTATCTGTATTATTTGAAAAATAAGTTATCGTCAATATCTTGTTAAGAAGGGTCGTCTTTTTAACTTCTAGAACTTGCTTAGTGTCAAATAAATAATGTATGTACTCGTACATACTAACTACATTTACATACTAGCCCTTATTTATAATTTTATAACAAAATTCCAGAAAATGAACAAAATTAATTAAAAAAATGTTTAAAGCTCATGTTAAAATGTACTACTATTATTTATTTAGAAATAGGTACAAAAAGAAAAACTTAAATCTAGGCTGCTGAGGGTGTAATAAAAACCAGTTTTTGTTTGACCACACATTAAAAAATTTGGAAAAGCAATAAAATCAATTATTAGATACACAGATGGTACGAATGCAAGGTATGCTTCCAACTAATCCAGTCATGATGTTATAGCACAAACATTCTTTTCAGATGAATTTGACATACGAATGAGTGGTGATTATAATCGATGTGACAATTTCGAGCGTAATTTGATTAATTACGAAATAAATATATTATATTTGATTTGAATATTTTCGGACATTAGATTGTTTATGAAAATATAGAAATAAATAGGAAACATC